CGTCGGCCAGGCGGGCGTTACGCACCACGTCGGCAAGAAGCCCAACGGCCCGCTCCGTGTTCTGCTTCGTCACGCGCATGTACAGATGGGTCTGTTCACGGCCCACCTGCACGGTGAGTTGCCCGCCGATTTCGTCAAGCGCCTTTGCAATCTGCGCCCCCGTCTGGTTCGTTGTCCCGAGCAGCCCGCACTTCTGCAGCACACGCGCCGTCCCGGCATAATGCGCCGGCTCGTGGCGCGTGCCCGCATCGAGCCACACCCCGACAGTGGCAACAGACGCAAGCGGGTTTTCCTCGCATGCCACCCGTACACCCTTCCCGACGGTGCTGATGTTCGTTGGCGGTATTTTTGCAATTACACTCCGCAGCGCCTGCGTCGTCGCGTGGTTTGACGCCGGCCGTGCCCGTTGCACAAGCGTGGAGAAACTGACAGACATCTCCTCGTCTTCTTCCTCCTTTTCTTTTTTTTTCTCCTTCTTTTTCAATTTATTTATTTAATTTATTTATTTATTTATTTCTTCTCCTGCAGCCACTTCTTCTCTCCCCCTACAATACGTGAATGTGCGTGCCTCTTACTTTTGGATGTGTGCAATCAAAATACATGCACAAATGCACAAAAAGTTGTGGGCGTATGTACATGCATGGAGGAGGTGGAGAGAAAAATAAAGAAAAGAAAACGGCAGCAACGACAAGACACAACAACAGCACCGCTGCTGCCATGGAGTAGCCACGCACACATGCACACAAGAGTTTAAGTGCAGCGGTGGGAGAAAAAACGCCAAAAAAAAGAAAAAAAAGGAAAAAAACAGGACCCCCTGCTGCAGCGGGAAGCGACGAGAAAAGAGGGAGAAAAAAAAGAAAGAGGAGGAGGAGGGAAGGGAAGGGGAAGCGGTGAAGTAACGCAAAAAGAAAAAGAAAAAGAAAAAAAAAAACCACTGAAAAATTCCGCTGCAGCTAACCCCCCCTCACACACTCTCACTCTCTCATTGTGACACGCATGCATGCACGTCCACTTGTGTACAAATGCCTCCCACTCGCAGATATTAAAAAAGAGGAAATCCACAAACACACACACACAAATGTTGTCCCTGCGTGCTTACATTCATATTTACATTCACATATATATGTTTATATAACCGTCAGGAAGACAGAGTCGGATCTGCCCTCTTCGCATGCCGCCTCTTCGCCAACTCCATTTCAACACGAAATGTGCGGCTCAGCTCCGCATGCTCTTTTTTCCACTCGGCCTCCACTGCATTCGCCTGCTTCACGGCTTCCTTTTCCAGCTGTTTTATGGCATGCCGCAGCGCTTCCATTTCCTTTGCGAAAGCTGCGGCGGTGCGGGCCAAACCCCTGTACACACGGCCAATGTCCGTAAGAACAATCATGCAGTCTTCCTGCAGCTGCCGTCGCCGCTTCGTCTCTTCGCTGGCTAAAGCCTTTGCCACCTTTCCTCTCAGACGTAATGGCCCTTTTGAATGTTCCTCCTGTCCCCCTCCTTCTTCTTCCTCGCCTTGACAATGCTCACTGTGTTCCTCTCCTCCCTGCTGTTGCTGCTGCAGTTGGTGGTGTTGTTTTTTTTGTTGGTCCTCATTGTCGTTTTCCACCGCCCCCTCCTTTTCCTCCTCCGCTTCCTGTTGTTGGTACGCCCCTTGATACTCAATTGAGGCGGGGTCAACGTAGTAGACCTCCCCATCCTCCGTTGTGTAGTAGTAGCGGTCCTCCGCCCCCGTTGTCCCCATCGCCTCTACATCCACCAACCCCGTCTGGTGGTTGGCGTCACCGCTTATATCTCCCTCTACCACTTCTTCAACAGAAACATCGCTATACGGCTCATGACGGGCATCGCTTTCGTGCGGCTGCGCCCGGCTCTCATGCGACGGGGTCAAAATGTTTTTGAGTCGCTTAAATAGATTTGTCCCTCTAGCGGGTTTTTGCTGAAGGACGTCTGGGGAGCATGTCTTTCCGAGCCCAAGGCTCCAGTATCCTCTTGTGGAACTACCCGCAGTCACATCATCCGCAGACACGGCTTCACCAGAGTCCTGCGGTGGCGGGTTGACGTTCTCCTTCGACGAGGCGGTGCGGGAGTGAGGCGTCAGAATGCACCGCCACAGCCCCAAAGCGGTACGGGGCGGAGTCTTCGCCGAAGCGGCTGGCGCAGCAAATGGATCGCTACTAATAGACATATACACAAAATTCGGAAGTACGTATATATATAGAGAGAGATGGATATATATATATATATATATATATTTTTTCTTGTGTTTTTGGATCTGTGTGCACTGTGCCTTGTTTTTCTTGGAGCCCTAGTCTCTCAGTCCCCGCCGCCAGCACACCCTCCCCGCGCACGTTTTCCGGTTGCCACAGAAAAATAAGCAATTTGTTTCCAAAAAAAAGAAATGAAATGAGGTGTTTCTACCCAGCAAGCAAGCAATAGAGAAAGAAAGAAAGAAATTCCCTTCGTCACAGCTCAACGTGTGTTGCCAGCGAAATGGCACGTCTCATCCCACACGACGTCTCTTTCGTGTGCCAAAAGAAGTGGAAGAGAAAAAAGACCAAAAAAAGCTGCCCGAACAACTCGTGCAGTCAATCATTCTATGGTAGGCTGGCGGCAAGACGTTAACACAGTGGCCCGCTCGGCCACAACGGCCATTCATTCACCACAGCGGCCCGTTGCCACGAAGCATGACGAGACGCGCCTGCCGGCAATGAGCGGTACCAGCAGCAGGGATTGGTGTCTTGTTGCCATTTTGCGCTGGAGCGGCCGTCACCGTTGGGTCGCGAAAGAGTTGCAGGTGCTGTTCCATCGCCGTGCGTGTGCCACTCGGTGCAGTCCGTCGCCCGGCAAATAAAAGAAGTGGGCCGCCAGTGACAAGTGCGGCGCCGCCCTCGAGGTGACAAGACACGGCCCGTGTGATATGCGCGCTGCGTGAATAAAATCGCTGCGTGTTGCCCCAATGTCGTTCCCTCCGCGTGGCGTGACTGCCGTCCACGCAGTAGGGCGGTGATGTTGGTGGAGTGGAGGAGAAGGAGGAACGGAACTTTATTTCTGGCACAGAAGCAGGCGACACCGTCGGATCCGCACACGCCACGTCCATCAGCGGTGACAACATGGGGGGGTAGCAGCCATCACTACTGCTGCGGCTGCTCGGCTCATGGTGGAAGGCCCCGCATGAAACCAAATCGTTGCAAGCCACACGACATGATGGACCGACGGCAGGCTTACGATTCAGCCGCATGATTAGATACGGCTGTTGTTGTTGTTGTTGTTGCTGGCGGTGGTGGTGGCGGTCATTCTCTATTCGAACACTCATTGGAATTGCTCACTAGCCAAAAGGCAAAAAATAATCTAAAAAAACAAAGAAGTGAGTGAATCCAAATCAAAGACACACACACACACACACGCACACACATCGATACACGGGCGTATGAACATTGCAACGCAATCCACTGTGTTCTTTCTTTGTCATTTGCCGTTTTTGTTTTTTCCTCTTCCTTATCGCAAAGACAGCAAAAAAACAATCCTCCTCCTCCTCCTCATCCAAAAGCATATATAGACAGGCGTGAAAGCGCGCATATATATATATATGTATATACCAGCAATCATATAAAAATAATTACGTTAGTTACTTTTGTGGCTGCCGCTTTTTAATCGAAAATGACATGGCACAAGCGCAGGATTCGTCGACCAACTCGTTTCCAACCACCACAAAAGCGGCCCCTTTCAATTCAGAGTGAAAGTCAATGACTGCTGCCTGCAGCTTTGTCAACGAGTGCCTGTCGACGACCACTCGCGGTGGTGGCTCCACCCCACTACGGCCCTCAGCGCCAACAGGCAAAACATCCGTCTCGGCGACGACAACGTCCTCCTCCGGCACAAGAGCGCTGTTCTCTTCAAAGGAGAAATGATACTTGTAGCCGTGGCAGCCACCCGAATCCACCGCAAGGCGTAGGAAACGCTGGTCGTTTTGGAAGCCCTCCTCTCCATTCTTCTCGTTAATGCGGTGCCAGACACGACTAGAGACGGTGAAGCTGCGCCCGTACACAGCGGAGAGGTGTGGAACGCAAAACAGAAGGTATGACCGACGCAACATGTCGATGTTTATTCAATAAATTTTTATTTCCCTATTTCCTTCACTCCCTGTGTGGATAACAGTGCAACCACCACAATATTTCAGGCAGTACACAATCTCTGTATGCCTGTCGGTGGGTAGGTAGGTAGGTTAACCGTATGAATGCGTGTAAAAGAGGCTCCACCCGCCTCCTCTCCTTTTATTTCTTTTGTGTGTGTGTGAGTGTGCGAATAAACCTGTTCGATACGTTTCTTTCACCGCCACAGCACGGTGTGGTAAGGAGGAAGACAAAAAAAAAAAAAGCACACATTGAACATAGAAGGCAATGGCGCCAACAGATAAAAAGAGAGAAGAGAGCGTGGCTGCTCGCCGCGGCCGTTCAATTCACTTTTTTCCTTTTTTATTCCTTTCCTATACCCCCCTGCACATTATACTTCTGTTTAGTCCGTCTTTGCATGAACGGCCGTGTACCTTTCCATTATCGGCTCCACCACAAGCGCAAGGAACAGCAAGAAGCTGAAAAAGGCGAATGCAAACACCATGGTGATAAAAAGGGCATCCTCGTATCCCAGTGTCTCGTACACAAACTCCATCCCAGGAAGGAGCAGCAGGTACTCTGCCACGTCACCAATCAATGACATTTTTTCCCCTGGCGCCTTCCCGTGTTCGACGTCATCCAAAAAGGCGGCGATCATCTGCTGCTGCTCGCCGTCCATGCGCCACGGCAGCTGGGACTTGATATCCTCGAAGTGTGGGGTGTGGCGACGCAGACGATACACCTTGTCGCGTCGCGGGTCAACAACAACAAACGCTGGAAGCTCTTCCAACTCAATGTGGTAGCGCGTACGCCAAACGGCACGTGAACGTCCGTCGGCATGTGCCAATGAAATGCGGCAGTGATGCTTTTTACCCTCCATGGAAGCAATGGATGTGTTCATGGCGCGAGCCTCATTTCGCTCCTGCACAATGGCACGCAGGACGGGCATCATGGTGGTGTCGCTCTGCGTCACAGGGCCATCTGTGACAATGAGGCCAAAGTAATGGTGATTGAAGCCGGATATCACTGAGAAAAAACCCGGCGTCATATCCTCCACGGCGCGAAAGCCGTGATGTAGGATGAAGGCCTCAAATGACGGATGGATCCTGAATGAACCCGCTCCCTTGATGTGTCCCACATTCTCACTACTGGATTCCGCAAACCATGAACTATCCTCGTAGCACCGTGGGCTCCTGTATGCATCGGTGTACACAATGAACACTTCACCGTCCGGACCGCTGCCTTTACAACGTCGCCCCGCCTCAACGACCGCAACATACGACGTGATCCCCTTTTTCGCCCAATCCTCCGGCACATCATCGCCGTAGAGAACGCCAAAACGGATGTTGCCCAACGAGGCTGCCGCATCAACGGCGATATTCCACTGTGCGTCACGTGTCACTGCCTGCCTTTCCAATACTGATTTTGATGTGCCTTTTGCCGGCACATAAACAAACATTGGTACACGTCCATCTGCCAGCTGCAACTCCACCTCTTAAATCGCAGCGGGTCAGACACAACGTCGGCAAAGGAACCTGCCTCCACAGAACGCTGAAGGTAAATGCTAAACTGAACAAAGCTATCCAAGCTGTAGCCACCATGAAACTTATGCCAGCGTCCCTCCTTACCTGTCGTATAAACAAACGTTGGATATTCGTGGACTTCAAAGCGTGATGCAAGTTCCTTCTGCTTTACGGCATTCACCACGGCAAACCTTGCATGTGACATATCGATCTGGTTCAGTAGACTACTGGCGTTGGCAAATTGTGGCAATAGAGACTTGCAATGAGCACACCATGGAGCGTAAAAGAAAATAAACCACGACTGCGGCTGGGTTTGACCTCCACTCGGAAAGACATAAGCATCAAAGATATCATTGTGTAATTCCACCACATCATCTTGTGTCTCGCTACTCAATACTTCGATATTCGGGCGTGCTGGTACGATAAAGAGAAATGCCACAACAAAAAGCAGCAGAAAAACTCGATACATGATCGCTTGTAAAGCCACAATATCACAGCTGTAATATATATAAATTTAAATATAAAACGACCCGTGCGTGTTTTGTAAATGAACAGAATTTGGATGCTCCTGCCGCTTAACTTCCTTTGTGCGTGCGTGCGTGTGTATTTGTGTATGTGGGCGTGTGTCTCTTCTTTGTTCCGTTTTTTTTTTTATATATTCCTTCCTTTTTCCTTGACTATAAATATCCACAAATCTAATAATTAACACGGAGGTACAACATTGGTAGGAACGTGAGCAATAAGAGAGAAAGAAAAGGAATGTAGAAAACGGGGGAAAACCAGTCAAGCACGCAGCACAACATTTGGCAGAGTGGTGAAAAGAACCAATGGGATAAAGATGACATATAATCCAGCCAAAAGCCTGTGGGTGATGGTACGACATTATTATACATGAGAAACATCAAGGTTTGGTATCAAACAGAAAAAAAAAAAGAGAAAAGAAGGAAAAAACAAAAAAGGTGCAATCCTCCCTGTACCTTCTTCCTCCTCATCCATACGGAAATATCGATATTTATAAAAATAAATGTCGTGAACTCTGTCTCACCTCAAATAACTCCGGTATATAACATCCAGGTACTCCTTGTCATCAATGTAGCGCTGCAAGCTCTCTTTAAGCGCCCCAGCAAAAGTTGTTTTCGTCGTCAGTGAAAAGAGTTTGACAGGTGCACACTGGCGCGGTGGTGGCAGCGTTTTCGTCAAGCCACCTTGCAAATCCAGCCCTCCCTTCCCATGCGAATGAATCGAAGGCAACTGATGATATGTGCCACCAAGGATAGATGTCGGTTGCGCCAACGGGACACGTCCCTTTACAAGCCGATCCGGGCGAATACCGCGATAAAACATTTCCAACTGTGTCGGTGAATGCTCATGCAACCCTGCCGGCTTCTCCTTGGATGGTTTCTCTATCACCAGCTGGGAAAACGATTTCAGTTCCATTTCTTCCTCTCCCAGCACCCGCCGACGCGTTGGCATTTTTCCCCTCACACGTCGCCGTACGCCACGCCACATAACGGGCCTCCACATCCGCGTGAGCAATAAGTTCTCAAGCTGCA